CTCCGCCTGAGGCCCCAGTAGCTGCGTTCGCATGCCGCCGCCACCCCACGTTGGCGCACCCCTCTGACGTTTCATGACCTCGTAAGGAGCTCCGCCTGAGGGCCCTGCGACTGCGTTCGCATGCCGCCGCCACCCCACTTTGGCACACACCTCACTCGTTTCGTGACCTCATAGGGTGCTCCGCCTCAGGCTCCAGTGACTGCGTTCGCATGCCGCCGCCACCCAACTTTGGCGCACACCTCACACATTTCATGACCTCGTAAGGAGCTCCGCCTGAGGCCCTGGTGACTGCGTACGCATGCCGCCGCCACCCCACTTTGGCGCGCCCCTTAGTTTTCGTTTAGTGGCCCCATAGGGAGCTCCAGGCCCCAGTGGCTGCGTTCGCATGCCGCTGCCACCCCACTTTGGCGCACCCCTCACACGTCTCGTGGTCCCATAAGGAGCTCCACCTAAGGCCCCAGTGGTCGCATTTGCATACCTTCTCCAGACCAGTTCGGCACACTCCTCACACGTTTCGTGGCCCCATAGGGAGCTCCACCGAAGGCCCCAGTGTCGGGAATCGCATGCGTGACCGCGCCAAGGCCATGTTGGCACACCCCTCACACCTGGCCCCATTGGACGCTCGACCCAAGGCCGCATTGGCAGGAATCGCATGCGTGACCGTGCCCAATTCGGCACCACTCTCGCACGCTTCGTGGCCCCACAGGGAGCTCCGCCGAAGGCCCCAGTTCCGGGAATCACATGGGCGACCGCGCTTATTTCGGCACACACACACACACACACACACCCTCGCACGTTTCGTTACCCCCAGAGCTCCACCGAAAAGCCAATCGGCAGGAATCGCATGCGTGACCGCGCGCAGTTTGGCACCCTCCTCGCACGTTTCGTGGCCCTGTTAGAGCTCCACCAAAGGTCCCGCCGCCTGCTTCTCCCAGACCGCGCCCTGCTGCTCCCCAGGGCTGGGCCGACAGACGCTCAGGTCAGCCGTGACGGGTTACATCCAGATGTAACCCGCGATGGTTGATTTTTGCGACCCCATCAGCAAAAACGCTCCGTCTTTCTCACGCACGCCTTCTAGCCCCATCCCCTAGTGACCACCTGTCTTGCGGTGTTCGCAGCTGCATATGGTTAGCTCGTGCGCCAGGCTAATTTTAGATGTGGGAATGAAGTACGGAAAGAAGCCAGAGAGGGCTGGAGTGGGAGTGTGCGTGCGTGTATGTATGTCTCCCCCGCTCATCTCATTGCATTTTCTCACCTGCTCTCTTCTCGTCTCAGCGTTTCTCTCTTCACCCCTTCTAATATTACATCCACCCTTTCCCTCCCATCCTCCCCCATCGTCCCCCCAAGACTCGACAATGTGTTACTCCCGTTTCGTAGGGAGTTCGCATACCCCTTGATGAAAATCAGGGGGCCGAGCGGACCCACACTGTCCCTGGGACCGTGACTGAAGTGGGGTTGCGCGGTGCGGATTGCTATTGTTCATGTCGTCGTCGCTCCCGCCGACACGCCTGCGACCCGCCCCGCGACCCGCCCCGCGACCCGCTCCGCGACCCGCCTCGCGACCCGCCCCGCGACCCGCCCCGCGACCAGCCCGCAACCCGCACCCGTGACCCACTCGCATGGCCTCGCAGAGAGAGCTTCGCCTGCGGCGGGCCTCTTCGCACTGGTCTTCACGCCTCGCGACCTGCCTCTCACTTCCACCATCCCCCTTCCCTCTTCCTCCTCCCCTCTTCACTCTTCCCTCCTCCTCCTCCCCCTCCCTCCTCGTCGTCCTCCTCCTCCTCCTCCTCCTCCACATCGTTTTGTAACGGCGTCGGCGCCCACGGCGGGCTGATCGTTTTGAACTTCGGCGGCGAGCGAGGGGGGGAAATGATAAGGAGCAGGCTTTCTCAGGAGGCGGCGGGGCTTCTCAGAGACCCTCCGGCCTTCTGAGAAGTTGTCTGTGCCTTCGGGGGAGGCCTGAGCATTTTCTCTGAAACCCTCTGGCCTTCTGAGAAGTTACCTGTGCCTCTGGGGAAGGCTTGAACATGTTCTCAGCAAACCAGAGGCCCTCCGAGCCTTCTGAGAAGGCCTACCCCCTCTCACTTCCCACCCAGGCGCGCCGCCGAGCAAAGAATCGACACCTGGCGCTCGGCCACCCATCCCCAGCAAGGCAGCCCAGGTGCCGCCCCCACTCGCGTCCGCAATCGCAGGGCCTCGGAACATGTCATGCCCAGTCCTCCTGTTCGTATCCTCCTCTGCGCTCACCTCGCTCTTCGTTCCCGCCTGCTGCCCCTCCACTTCTCTTCCCTGTGCTGTGCGTGTTGTGTGTAATGTGTGTGTTGTGTGTGTGCTGTGTGTGTTGTTTGTGTTGCTTGTGTTGTTTGTGTTGCTTGTGTTGTTTGTGTGTGTGCGTGTGTGTTTGTGTGTTTGTGTGTGTGTTTGTGTGTGTGTTTGTGCGTTTGTGTGTGTTTGTGTATGTTTGTGTGTGTGTGTTTGTGTGTGCTTGTGTATGTTCGTGTGTTTGTTTGTTTGTGTATGGTTGTGTGTGTGTTTGTGTGTTGTTTGTGTTTGCTTGTGTGTGTGTGTTTGTTTGTGTGTGGTTGGGTTGTTGTGTGTGTGTGTTGTGTGTTGTGTGCGTTGTGTGTGGTGTGTGTTGTGTGTTGTGTGGTGTGTTGTGTGTTGTGTGTGTGTGTGTTCTGTGTGTGCCTGTGTGCTTTTGTGTGTGGTTGTGTCTGTTTGTGGTTGTGTGTGTTTGTTTGTGCGTGCTTGTGCGTGGTTGTGTGTTTGTGTGTGTGTTGTGTGGTGGGCGTGTTGTATGTGTTGTGTGGTGTGTGTGTGTGTTGTGTGTTGTGTGGTGCCTGTTTGTGTGTATGTTGTTGTGCTTTTGTCTGTGTGTTTGTGAGCTTGTCTGTGTGTGCTTGTGTGATCGTGCTGCTGTGTATGTTGTGTGTTGTGTGTGTTGTGTACGTTGTGTGTGGTGTGTGTGTTTGTGTGTGTTGTGTGTTGTGTGTGTTGTGTGTTTTTGTGTGTGCCTGTGTGTGTTTGTGTGTGCTTGTGTGTGTTTGTGTCTGTGTGTGTTTGTTTGTGTCTGTTTGTGCGTGTTTGTGCGTGGTTGTGTGTTTGTGTGTGTGTGTTGTGTGGTGGGCGTGTTACATGTGTTGTGTGTTGTGTGTGTTGTGTGTTGTGTGTTGTGTGTCGTGTGTGGGTTGTGTTTGTTGTGTGTGGTTTGTGTGTGTTGTGTGTGTTGTGTGTGCTGTGTGTGTTGGTTGTTGTGTGTTGTGGGTTGTGTGTTGTGTGTGTTGTGTGTTGTGCGTGTTGTGCGTGTTGTGTGAAGTGTGTGTGGTGTGCGTGTTGTGCGTGGTGTTTGTATTGTTCGTGTTGTTTGTGTTGTTTGTGCTGTGTGTGTTGGTTGTGCTGTGTGTGCTGGTTGTGCTGGTTGTGTTGTGTGTGTTGTTTGTGTTGTTTGTGTTGGTTGTGTGTTTGTGTGTTTGTGTGGTTGTGTATGTGTGTGTTTGTGTGTTTGTGTGTGCTTGTGTGTGCTTGTGTGTGCTTGTGTGTGTGTGTCTGTGTGTGGTTGTATGTTTGTGTGCTGTGGTGTGTTTGTGTGTGTGTTGTGTGAGTTGTGTGCCTTGTGTTGTGTGTGTTGTGTGTGTTGTGTGTGTTGTGTGTGTTGTGTGTGTTGTGTATTGTGTGTGCTGGGTGCGTTATGTGTGTGTTGTGTGTTGTGCGTTTTGTGGGTTGTTGTGTGTTTTGTGTGTTGTGTGTGTTGTGTGTGTGTTGTGTGGTGTGTGTTGTGTGTTGTGTGTTATGTGTGGTGTGTGTGTTGTTTGCGTTGTGTGTGTTGTGTGTGTGTTGTTTGTGTTGTTTGTGTTATTTGTGATGTGTGTGCTGTGTGTGCTTTGTGTGTTGCTTGTGCTGTGTGTGCTGTTTGTGTTGTTTGTGTTGTTTGTGTTGTTTGTGTTGTTTGTGTGTTTGTGTGTTTGTGTGTTTGTGTCTGTGTGTCTGTGTGTCTGTGTGTGCGTGTATGCGTGCGTGCGTGCGTGTGTGTGTGTGTGTGCCTCTCAGTTGTGTGTGTGTGTGATTGTGTGATTGTGTGTTTGTGTGTGTGTTGCTGTGCTCTGCTGCGTTCTGCTGTGTGTGTGTGTTCTCTGTTGTGGTCTCGTGTGTGTTGCTTCTGCCTGGGCTTTGGTTTGCTTCCTGCAGCGCGGAGCCCCTCGTGGCCTGGCGGTCCGCCGCCGCTCCTCGAGGCCCGACGCCTCCTGGGGATGGGGGGGGAGGGGCTGCGCGGGAGCGCGAGGTCCTTCGCGCTTCGCGCGGGGCGGTGCGGGAAGTTGGGCGCCCTTGGGCGGGGTCGAGGCCAGCATCGTGTGCGTGGAGCTCCAGAGCGCGCGGCCCGCTGCCGAGCAAGCGTGTTGTCCCTCTTCTCTTCCGCACGCGCGCGTCTGTCTTCGGCCCGAATTCGGTGCGGCCTTTCATATCATTCTTCATTCCACCTCTTTCTTTGTATGCATCCTCATCTGTCCTCATCCGTTGCTCCCACCCATCCTCTTCCTCCTCCTCATCCTCCAGTTCCCCTTTCGCCTCCCCCTCATCGTTGTCGTCCTCATCCCCCCCATCCTCTCTGGCTTCCTCTCCTACCGCTCATTCGTCATCCTACTTGCTCTCCTCTCGCCACCCCCCTTTCCGATGCTTTCCTGTCTTCCCTTCTATTGCCCTTTGTCTCACCCCTCTCTTCCCTCCTCTCCTCCCCGCTACACATCTCTCGATCTCCGCACCCCTTCCCTCTCTTCCCTGCGCTCCTTCCTCTCCCCTCGTCATCTTTCTCGTTCGTCCTCGCTTCCCTCCTTCTTGGCCGCGGCCGTTCTGGCGTCCCTGAAGGAGGGGGTGACGACGCCCTCGGCCTCCTCGCCGTCCTCCTCCTCCCTCCTCCCCCCCCCCCTCACTCTCCTCCTCCTCCTCCTTCTCCTTCTCATCGGCCTCCTCCCCCTCTTTTTCCTCCTGCTCCCCCTCATCCGAAGCCCCTGTTGCTCAGGCCTGGGGATTCCTCGCTTCTGATCTTCCACTCGCTTCTGGACTCCGGGACCCCCGCGGGGCCGCCAGGGAAGCGGATCTGGCGAGAGCCGCCGGGCCACCTCCCACACCGGGGGGCCCCACCGTGGCAAAGGGCCAGCGGCGCCTCCCGGGCGTCTCCCGGCCAGGCTCGGGGTGGCCCGGACCGACGAGGGGGGGATCGACTGCAGAGTTGATGTCGGGAGCCTCGAGACGGGGGTCAGTGCAAACGGGGGTCAGCCAGGGCGCCGGATCCTGCAGGATCCTGCGAAGGCCCCCTCTGGCTGACCCGGGTTAGGGAGCCGCTCGTGGCCGCGAGGCGGCCGCGCGTATTGGCTGACCCGGGTTTGCGAGGACCTGCGTTGCAGTTTTTTTTTTTCCTGCATTGCAGTTTTTGGTTTCCTGCTGACCCGGGTCTGGATTGACCCGGGTCAGAGGATCCCCGATGATGCACCCCCAAGATTTGTTTTAAGTCGGGCCTGTCCCTCTACCGGGGGAATATTCAAAAATAGTCAAAAATAGTCTGGGGACTCTTTTGTAATATTTTTTGACAACTTTAGAGTATTTTTTGTACATTTTTTATGTTTCGTCGCAAATCCCGCTGTAGGGAGACACGCCCGACTTAGAATTAGTTGTTGGGTCCAACGAATCTCTGAAACACACAGAAAACCCCCCGTCGGTCTGCGGCGCATGGTTTTCCTTTTTCGTAGACTCGGCTGCAAAAGTCCATGTCAGGGTAACTCAGCTCTGGGTAAATCGATCCTGTAGTCCATCCCCCACCTCGAAGTGCATGGGCCCAGCTCGGGCGTGCAGATATCCGCTGGCTCCGGTCCCCCGCGGGGGGGGGGGCCAGAGGTAAAGCGCGGCCCGCGCTTCCCTGAGCGTGGCAGCTCGGCGGCGCGGGGAGGGCCGCGCATCGCGAGGCGCCGTGCGCGGGCCCTCGACCGACGCCCTCCGCACCTTCCGCGCGGGAGGTGCCGCGCTGCCGCGGCCGCCGCTGCGGCCGTGGCGGCGGCCACCGTCGCGGCCGCAGCGGCGGCCGCAGCGGCCTCGGCAGCCGCACCGCGGCGGCGCCTTCAGCGCGGACGGTGCGGGAGATGCAGGTCGAGGGAGGTCGGGCGGCCTGGGTGGCTTTCGCCAGGTTCTCTCACCACACAGCTCTTCTCGTCTCTATCGGGCCTGGACCCCGCGGACACAAGAGATGGTCGCGTTCGTGCGCCCGGTCCTCGCGTCCAGCCTCGCGCTCGGCTGCACCTCGGCGTTTGGCCTCGCCGCGGTGGCGCGCGACGTGGCCGACCTGTCGCCGTCGCGCGGCGGCTTCTCGCCCTCGCGCGACACGTCGTCTGGAGGCGGACGCCAGACGCCAGAGGAGCTGAGGAGGAGGTGCTGGTTCTGGGCTTCCTAGATGGGGTCGGAGTAGATGGGGTCGGAGGATCGCGCCGCATCGCCGAGGCACCGCCGATGCCTCAACGATGCGGCTCGATTTGAAAGAGCGCGTTCCCCCCTCCCGTGACGGGGGGGGGGTCGAACCTCCCCCCACCCTCCCTCCTCTGCTTCCCCTCTCCTCGGGCCGGCGCTTGTGTTGGCGGCGGCTGGCGACGGCGGCGGGCGGCGGTGGCGGGGAGCGTCGACGAGGACGGTGGTGGTGGTGGTGGTGGGTGGTGGTGGTGATGGTGGTTGTGGTGGTTTGTTGTGGCGGTGGTGGTGGTGGTTGTGGCGATGGGTGGTGGTGATGGTGGTGGTGGTGGTGGTGGAGGTGGTGGTGGTGGTGGTGGTGGTGGTGGTGGTGGTGGTGGTAGTGGTAGTGGTGGTGGTGGTGTGGTGGGTGGTGGTGGTGGTGGTGGTGGTGGTGTGGTGGTGTGGTGGTGTGGTGGTGGTGGTGGTGTGGTGGGTGTGGTGGTTTGGTGGTTTGGTGGTTTGGTGGTTTGGTGGTTTGGTGGTTTGGTGGTGTGGTGGTTTGGTGGTTTGGTGGTTTGGTGGTTTGGTGGTTTGGTGGTTTGGTTGTTTGGTGGTTTGGTGGTTTGGTGGTTTGGTGGTTTGGTGGTTTGGTGGTTTGGTGGTGGTGGTGGCGGCGGTGGTTTGGTTATGGTGGTTGGTAGTGGTGGTGGTTTGTAGAGGTGGTGGTTTGGTGGTGGTGTGGTGGTGGTTTGTGGTGATGGTGGTGGGTTGTGGTTGTGGCGGTGGTTTGTGGATGTGGTGGTGGTGGTGGTGGTGGTGGTGGTGGGTGGTGGTGTGTGGTGGGGTGTGGTGGTGGTTTGGTGGTGGTGGTGGTGGTGGTGGTGGTGGTGGTTGGTGGTTGTGGCGGTGGTTTGTGGATTGGTGTGGTGGTGGTTGTTGGTGGTTGGGTGGTGCTGCTGGTTGTGTGTGTGGTGGTGGTGGTGGTGGTTGGTGGTGGTGGTGGTGGTGGTGTGGTGGTGGTTTGTGGTTTGTGGTGGTGGTGGGTTGTGGTGGTGGCGGTGGTTTGTGGACGTTTGTTGTGGTGGTGGTGGTGGCGGTGGCGGTGGCGGTGGCGGTGGTCTGGTGGTTTGTGGTGGTGGTGGGTTGTGCTGCTGGTAGTGGTGGTGGTTGTGGCGGTGGTGGTGTGGTAGGTTGTGGTGGTGGTAGTGGTGGTGGGTTTGTGTGGTGGTGTTGGTGGTGATGATGAGTTGTGGTGGTGGTTGTGGTGGTGTTGGCTGTGGTGGTGGTGGTGGTTGTGTGGTGCTGTTGGTGGTGGTGGTGGTGGGTTGAAGCGGTGGTGGTGGTGTTGGTGGTAGTGGTGGTAAGTGTCGCTGCGTCCCCGCCGTCGCCGGCGCCAGCGCCGGCGCTGCGCTGCTGGCCGCCGCGAGCGCCGGCGCCGGCGCGAGGGCGGGGGGGGTTTGAAACCCCCCCCTTGGCTGCCTCTGGTCATCGTCGCTGCGTCCCCGCCGTGAACGCTGCTGGCGGCCGCCAGCGCTGGCGCCGGCGCCGGCGCGGGGGGGGGGGGAGTTTTGAACCCTCCCCCCCCTGGGAGGGGGGGGGGCAGGGAGGGGGGGGGGAGAGGTTTGAACCCCCTCCCCCTTGGGAGGGGGGAGGGGGGGTTTCGGGAGGGGGGGGGTTTGGGAGGGAGGGGAGTCCCCTGGTTTTGATCGACGGCGCCGAGTGTTGGGGGGGGGCCACCCCCCGGTTCGAAACGCGCCGCCGAATGTTCCCCAGGCAAGCGCCCGTGAAACGCGTTGTCTCCTCGATTTGAAGCACAACCTTCCCCACGCCGACGTCGCCGATGCATCGCAAGTGCACCGCCGATGTATCGGCGGTGCGGCGCGATACTCCGACCCCATCTGCTCCGACCCCACCTAGGAGGCCTCCAGTGGTGGAGGTTGGAGTCGGCTGGGGATCCGAGGTGGGCCCGCACTGGTTCCAGCCGGGGGGCGAGGTGCGAGGGTCCAGGTTCGAGAGGGTGTCTGCCTTTTTGTTGTGTCGTTGGCGGCCGTTTTCGGGCCCAGGGGCCCTCGACCACGGATCCGGGGTGAAATACTGCACCGGATGGACCCTGGGAGGGGTCCAGAAAGATTTGGAGATTCGGAGCGGATTTATATGTCCCTCCATTTGGGCAAATGTTCTCGGGCTCCATCCATCCCAGACCCCCCGGCCGCCTCGAGGGTGGAGGCGGCTGAGGAGGAGCAGCGAGCAGGAGGGGACTGCCCGGCTAGGCTCCGAGTCCAGTCCATCGCCCCAGAGCGGCTTCGGCACGGCAGATTCAGCCATCCTGCGCGTTTTGTCGAGCATGAGGAGGAGGAGGAGGAGGAGGAGGAGGAGGAGGAGGAGGAGGAGGAGGGGGAGGGGGAGGAGGGGGAGGAGCAGGATGTTGAGGAGCAAGGATGTTGAGGAGCAGGAGAAGGGGCGGGGAGGAGGATGGTGAGGAGCAGGAGGAGGTCGAGGAGGATGAGACGCCGGAGGAGCTGGGCTTCTCCTCCGACGAAGACATCGACACCGCGGGCTACGGCAGGTCTCGCAGTGGCGGCCCTCCCACTCCTTTTGTCTTTCCTCCCTCCCTCTTCCTCTTCCCCCTCACCATTTTCCCTCCTTCGCTTTTCCCTCACCCCGCCCCCTCCACCTCCTGGTCCTCTGCCTCCCCTCCTCCTGTTCCCCCGCCTCGCGCGCTTCTCCATCGCCCCTGTCTTCATCTTTCTAATCGTCCTCCTCCTCCTCCTCGTTGAATCCCGTCTCCTCCTCCTTCCCCGTTTCTTCTTCCTCCTCGTGCGCCCTCCTCCCAGTTCACAGTTCAACGAGGAGTTCTGCTTGGACATCGGCGCAAAGGGCTTCCCCATTCCTACGCTCAATATGCTCAAGGCTGTGGAGGAGAAAGAGGAATAATCGATATTTCAAATATTTCATCATCGCCACGTGACTGGGTCAAGAGTTGTTCCTTCCGTTTACGCTTTTTCCAGTCGGCACCAGCAGCAACTCATGATACATGAGCCATTGCTTATTCGACGATGTTCAACATGAGTCGAAGTTCGTCCGCGGGGAGCGTAAGGCTGCGCTCTTGTGCAGAGCCGTAGGCAGATCCGCGTGAGCGCAGCACCCCGAGGAACCATCGCTCCTGTGACGGCCGCAGGCGCCTGCACCGCCGTCGGGCCACTGGGCGCCTCTGCGCCGGCAGGCTGGGCAGAGCCCGATGGGCGGGACCACGGGGGCCAACAGGAGACCGACCGCGCAGGGGCCAAGCCAAGAAGTCCAGCGCTTCGTGTGCTTGATCTGCGGCGTTGGGGCGATCGCACCGCGGTCGAGGCGGCGGCCGCGGAGGCGCGACGCGTGCACAGGAGAGGCGCGGGCAGAGAAGCGGCCGCGGCACACGCAAGGCATGAAGTCCCTCGAAAGTCGGTTAAGTCGGGCATGTCTTTCTACAGGAGGAATGTTCAAAGTAGTCACAACAAAGATGGCCTGGAAGCGATGTTTCGTGCTCTTTTGACTACTTTGCATTTGGGGATTGGTTTTTGAACCAATTTTGTGTTGTTCTTCCCAACTCCGCCTTCAGGAGGACATGCCCGACCTAAGACTTCGGGTGCGGTGTAGCAGCCTCAGGCTCCCGAGGGAGGCCACGAGGCCCAGCACGCGGGACGAGAAGAACCGGAGTGCTATACAGTATGGGCCACCACGGATCTCGGGCGGGCGGCAATGGGGGGCGACCCGAATCGGGTGTGAAGGAAGGGGCCCTAAAGGAGCCCTTCGGGACCCACTGTGGAGCCAGCCGGTGCCCAAAAGGGGCCCCTTCGGGGCCTTTTTCTTCACCCCCAGTTGGGTCACCCTCCATGACTCGGGGGTGGACAGAACCCCCAACAGTGACACGTCGATTAGTGAATTGTCCGTTTTCGGTTCTCGAGAGGGCGCCGTGGCCGTTATTTCCCAGGCCTGCGCCCGCCAGGTTTGGGCCTCAGGTCGTTTTCACTAAACCACGTTTTACTAAAGGGAGGTCTGTCCATCCCCGAATTACCACCCTCCCGAGGGGCCCAATACACAAGGAAAAACTGAGGCGGGGCGCACGTGGGCGGGAGGAGCTCGATGGGCCACCACGCAAATCAACACACGGCGGCAGTTCAGGCTGGGGCCCTTTCGGGCCACCAAGGCACCCAACACGCAGGGGCATGCGTGGCTGGACCTGCTGGGAAGCCGTGGGCCAGCTGGCACCGGCGTTCCTCGGATAGCGTGCGCCGTGCGTGTCCACACCCCGCCCACTCGCGTTAGCGTTAGATGAGATTGCGACGCTGCCGAATGTTGATCAATTCAGTGAAACTCTCTGATCGGCGTGCCAGATAGGCTGTCATATCGTTCTACCGTTTTCGCATGTTTGTTGTGAGAGGGTTCGCAGACATTTTGCAAGCATCCTTCATATGAAATTTGCTAGTTGCTCAGATTTCGAGCGCGCTGATCAGTTCGGAACTCTCCCATCGCGTCTGACGGACCTGCTGTCAGCTTGGGAGCATGCTTCATGAATGTTCCCCGTCCCAGGAGGGTTCGTACCACTTGTTGCCTCTGTGACCCCAGTGCCAACGAGCAAACATGACGCATCGCCGTCTAGACATGGAGGCTCCTCGTTATCATCGGAAGGATAATCGTCGGCCACCTTGCTTGTCCCTGTATGTTTGAGAATTGCAAGTGGCGCGGTTCAGCTGTCGCTCCTTGAAGATTGCTGTGCGAGACTTCAAGGAGGAGGAGGAGGAGGAGGAGAAGGAGGAGGGAAGAGGATGAGGGGCGGCTCCCCTAAGGCGGCCAACTGGGACGTGCCGACATATTTCGCCCAGCTGCAGGGGGCAGGGTACGCCGAGGACGCCCTGCAGATGACAGGCCCCGACTCGGCCATTCTGAAATCCGATTGCATGAAGGAACGCTTCCACGGCAAGACGAAGCACATCTTTGTGGGCGATTCGCAGATGATGGCCCTCCGCAACGCGTTCCACCGCCTCAACAAGTGCCCGGAGATCTGGTGGGCCAACCACTCCGAGAAGGATATCGATGACATGATGGGGACTGTGCGGAGGAACGAGGCCTCCAAGACGCAGGTGAAGAGCAAGACCCGCTTCCACTCCCGGGCCGACCAGGCCCCAGACAAGTTGCCCCGCGGCTGCACCGAGGAGGGCATCGGGTCTTTCGTCAGTTGGGACGCCTGGGCCAGCCAGAAGATTCCAGTGAGGTCGGAGGCCGTCAGCTGTCCACCTCATCGATCTTGGCCAGGCCGACTGGGGGCCCAGGATCGGTGCATACGACTCCTGGCCAAGCCAGCAGGGCGTGTATATGCCGATCCTGGGCCCAGGACGGGCTTTGCCAGAGTCGGCGAGGTGGATAGTTAATTTCCCCCGATCAGGGAGATTAAGATGGAGATGGACCTGGCCGGTGTGAGCCCTGCAGACGGGGACCTCGTTGTCGTCTGGATTGGTTCGAATCCAGCTGCCTGCGGCAAGTCCCGCTACTGCGCCAGCCCAGCATGATGGGTGGCGACCGTTCGATGGGCACGTGAGGCCATCACGTGTGACATTTGGTATCGCCTGGCTGGGGATAGCTGTGATGGTGATAATGAGAATTTGATGGCGATGACCAGGCTTAGGAGGAGGAGAGGAGGAGGGAGGAGGAGAGGAGGAGGAGGAGGAGGACCAGTGTAAAACCAAGAGTCATCAACGATGTTGGAATAAACCCTCCCTCCCAGCTCCCTCTTCATAGGCGTTTGCATCGGTTCATTTCCACTGAGGGAATTGCTTCGTTGGAAGAGAACCGTGTGAAGACCCTGAAACATGCCAAAACATTGTTCTCGGGATTCCAACGCCACGGATCAAGCTAACTGTTCCGTCTCGACGAGCCTGTGCCAGAACGCCGTTCTTGGGACGTCGACACGGCGAATACACGTAATTGTTGTACCCTCATAGTCCCGAACAGTGCCAAAACATCTTTTCTGGTACGCTGATCATGGGAGCCCGTGAAGTTATTGCGAATATTAACGAAGGTGCGCGGCGCTAAAGCGAGAGCCACATTTTGGAAAAGAACCGCCCTCAATCCGTGAACCTTTTGCATTTGTTTTAACAGGTGTGCGCGGCGGTAAGGCGAAAGCCATATTTTGAAAACGACGCGCCCGCAATCCGTGAAAGTGTTGCAAATTGTTAAAATCGAATGCGCGCGGCGCTAAGGCACGAGCCGCATGTTGAAAACCAACCGCCCTCAATGCGTGAAACTTTTGCAATGTGCGCGGCGCTAAGGCGAGAGCCACATTTTGAAAACCACCCGCCCTCCATCTGTGCAATTGTTGCCATTGTTTCAGCTTCTGCGTCATAAACGGTGTGGAAATCTCAGGCGAAACGCCCGGCCCGCCCTAAAAATTGGCCTCGGGGTGCGACAGGGCGAAGTTATTGATCATGAGAAGGGATGGAGGAGGAGGAGGAGGAGGAGGAGGAGGAGGAACAGGAGGAGTAGGAAGAGGAAGGATGGTGCTATCCCTCGAATGGGCACGTCCCCTCTTCCAGCAACTCGCGCAGCATCTCCTCCCATCTCGGGACAAGGACTGAAGTGGGCGCGCGTTGCAATACAACTATAGCCCTCAGCCGTACCGCAGAGGATGGGTGCTCTGCCGAGGCCTATGAGGAAGTGTCATGTGCGGCCGCGGCGCCCGAGACATTCTACTGCTTGCTGCCTGCAAGGTCCTGTGCTCCCATGACGCCCTCCGCAGGCCTGGGTGGTGAACGCAGGCCGCGGGGGGGGGTTATTCTGTTCCTCAGAACAGAGAGTCGAAGAATCCGCATGCGGAGCTGGGGGGGAGGGCAATGTTGACCAAACCGCGCCAGAGTACCACCACGTTTTTTTCTGAGTGTTTCTTGTGTTTGACCCTGCCCTGCCCCTTCCTGAAGTTGTTTCCTCTCTCTCTCTCTCTCTCTTTCAGTCGTGGTGTTGAAGACATGTCTTCTTTTCTGCGGTGGCCTCGGATACTGATTCTTCTGCGTGGCAGATGTTCAGTGTAATTTCTTCTGTGGCTGCCTTGTAAAAGAATTCCTTCCGTGGGGGCCTTGCGCACGGATTCCTTTGTGGCGGCCTTACCTGAAGGTGTCCTTGTTGCGACGGCCTTCGAAACAATGATCGTGTGGCGGATGGCAAGTGTATTCCTTCTGCGGCGGCTTACCAAAACATTCGTTTTGTGGCGTGTTACACATTGAGTCCTTCTGTAGCGGGTTACACTTGAATTCCTCTTGTAGCAGGTTGCATTATGATGTCTCTGCCGTGGTTGATTACACGTAGAATCCTCATGTGGTGGCTTACACCAGGAGGTCCTTGTTTGTGGCCGTCTTACATAAGGAGTCCTCCCGTGGCAGATCACACGTTGACTCCTGTTGTGAGCCTGCCTGTGTGGAAGACTCAGCCCCGCCCCCCCCCCCCAAAAAAAACATCGAAGTCGATGAAAGTTTGAGAAATAGCATATCGCCGGTGGGTCACACTGATTGAAACCTATATGGGGGAAAAAAGCCACACTCCTGGGCTTCGGGATGCCATTATCATGTAAACACAAATGAATACATACAACTTCTTCAATATCCAATGATTTCATGTTTTTGTTGGCCCCCGGGTCACTCCCACAGGGGACCACAAAGCGATGCATCGTGTAATCTGCCTCAAAAAGAACCCTTGTGCCAGGTGACCACAAAAAAGAGTCACTGTGTAATCCGCAACAAAAACACATCAATGTGCACTCGGCTACATCGGGGAGGTTGTTCGGTATTTCTGGCCTCTGGGCGCCATTACCGGGCCTCGGGACAAACCGGTCCTGGGGAAGGGGTCCAGACATTTGGGCTTCGGGGGTCTGGGGTCGAGGTGCAACGCTCACCCGGACCGCCCGGCAAGACTAGGGCGGCCGGAGAGCATCTGGAAGCCAGACGGTGGCAGCATTGGGTGGGTGGGAGCGGCGAGGCGGTCAGGCGGCTCTGTGCAAAGAGCGGGCAGGTCCGCGCTCGTGGCAGCAGGGCCAGAGACGAGCCAGCCAACGGCGTAGGGCCACCAGGGACTCACGGTGAGACCGAGGGCCGCGCTGGGGTGCCCACAGGAGCGTGGCAGCACGGCAAGACCAGAGCGGGCGAGGCGGGCAGAGGGCGAGGCGAGCCGGGGTAAGGCGGCAAGCCAGGGAGAGGGGCGAGAGGAGGCGCCGAACAGAGGCAGACGCAGGCGAGCCCGAGCCCAGCGCCAGGGGAGCGGGCACCCCGCGCTCGAGGCAGGGGCGAGGGCGAGGGCCAGGGCGAGAAAGAGCAGGGGCGAGGGCGAGGGCGAAAAGGAGAAGGGGCGAGGGCGAAAAGGAGAAGGGGCGAGGGAAGGGTCCGATGGGGCGACCACCAGCGCTCGAGGCAGTAGGAGCGAGGGCGAATTCGAGAAGAGGAGGGGCGGACCCTCAGTCACTCACCGCCCAGCAATTCGCCCCCAACGTGACCCGACGGCCCCAGTTTGCCCTCTAGGGTCAAACGAGAGCATCATGACTCCCCAGGGGGGTCTGGGCAGATGCCGGACGGGATCCGGGGACTCCTTTTTTAGCCAACAGTAACGCACTTCGTGGTCTTCGAGTTCCCAGAACTCCATTCTTGGGCATGATTTTGAATGCGCGGAGCCAACTGTATTCCCAGTGGGGGGGGGGGGGGGGCATCGGGGAACATCGAAAAAACACGTGCGGAACACGTAATTACACCCCCCCGACCCGAAATTTGGGTCTTCGGGTCAGGTTGGGGTGGTCTTGTAGGTAGTCAGTCACTGGCCTGGCGGCCCGAAGGATCCGTCCCTCCACTCGTCGAAGGCCATACAAAACGCGTTCTCAGCGTCCGCGGGGCTGGGGCCAGCCGCAGGGTGGGGATGGGCGGGCGGCGTGAAGACCGCGTCCCGTTGCCGCTCCACGTCATGCCGGCCATCGCCGTCGTCAGGAGCGAAAAGGCCGCCGGAGTTGCGCAAGCAGTGGACGCCGTCGAAGCTGCAAATGGCGCCGCGGGTCAGGAGACTGGGAAGAGCCGACGAGCTCAGGCGCAGGAAGCGATGTGTGGCGGCCCGGGGGCTGCGAGGGTCCCCGGAGCCCCGCGGGGTGAGCACCAGCGGGCCCGGCCCAGGCAGCGCTGAAGGGGGAGGGAGACGCGCCTGCGCCGACAGGGCGGCCTCCAGTGCGGCGCTGCTGGCGTGGCGCGGCCGCCTGCGTTGAGCTGTCCGTCCCTGCGGGTTCGCGGGTGTGCACGCCGGTCGTTGAGAGTGGGTATGTTTGGAGTCCTGGATCCCATTCTTTTTCAAGCGCCAAGAATCGATATGTCTTGCTGCGCTGTGTCATTATCTGGGAGGGACTGAACCCAATCTGCTCAATCCGCTTTCCTACTTCATGTTCTGACCTACTTCTTCCGACCAACGGGTACGGGTACTGCGCCGATCCTCTCGGCGGGGGAGCTCAAAAGGTTGGCGTGGAGCAGGGCTCCCCACAGAAGAGACAACGGATCCTCAGGCTGCGCGGGGGGGGCGTAGCATGCCCCAGCCTTTTGGAGAGGAGGGCGGCAGGTCGGGCAGGCGCCCCGCCGCGCCAGGAGGGGAGCAGGCTGGAGGTCGGGAGTGGTCACGGCGAAAGCGCCGCAGCGACAGCGGAGGCGCGCGATGACCCGGCGCACGGGCGCCAAGCCATCGGAAAGCACGTTTGCAGGCAGAGGGCGCACACATCCACACACACACACACACACGCAGACACACGCAGACACACACGCACGCACACACACACACACACAGAGACACACACACACACACACACACACACACACGCACGCACGCACGCACGCACGCACGCACGCACGCACACACACACACACACACACACACACACACACACACACACACACACACGCGCGCGCGCGCGCGCGCCCACACAGTTTTTAGAGTCGGCGGCGGCGCAGAGGATCCTCAGGCGCGGACGGCAGATGGAAGTGCGAATTGCGATCGAGCATTGTCGAATGCATAGCGTGCGAGACGTCGCACACTGTAAAGTACAAACGATAGGTTGCGTGCAAGAGGGACTGTAATCCCAAACGTAGACATGCTCCCCACACATACACACATGCACACGCACACACACACACACACACACACACACACACACACGCACACACACACACACACACATGCACACACACACACACGGTTTCGTCAATTCCACAGGGGAGGGGATGCATTTTTCCTTCGAAGGGCACATTCCAGACATTGCCGATCAAAATAGCCTAGCAAATACCCGCATTTGGTGAGAGAGGTGATTTGAAAGGGGGCTTCCCTGGGGAGCCCTCATATTGCAATTCGGGACGAAAAACTCGTCCCGGGGGGGGGGGGGGGGCCTCGTGTTCCACGGCCCGTCTCCGTCGGGACCCGTTTCTTTCATGTCACGGCCGCTTTGGGCCGTCAGAGGGCGCCCGTTTGGGATCCCACTGGAGGCCGTCTTGGAGCCGTATTGGATATTTGTTGGGCCATCGCAGGGTCTTCTTGGGCCACCTTGGGACCTTCTTGGGTGCCCCGTGGGCCGTCTTGGAGCCCTCGCGGCCCGTCTTGAGGTGACGGCAGCCGGCAAAGACGAGAAATGCGTGAATCATACAAATACCGATCGAAGATTAATGGTTCAGGTTTCTTCAGACCCTGTTGGAGGTCCTCCTGCGGCTCTCTTGGAGGCATCGTGGGCCGCCTTGAAACAATTGTGGGCCGCCTTGGGGCTCTCGTGGGCCGCTGTTGCTGCATCTTTGTTCATCTTGGTTGCCCTGGTTGCCTACCTGGCGCGGACGCGAATCAATTTTATGTGCGAGGGATCGTGGCTCCGGGAGTGGGGGCGAGGCACGCAACAGTCTGCGACTACAGTGGACGCCCATGCCAAGAAACACCCTGCTTGCCTCCAGGGTGCCCTGGGGTTCGACGGTTTTGCCGTGGAAAGCGTGACGTGTCCACACCAAAAATCAATGGACGTCCTGGGGTCTCAGGGTTGGCTTTCTTGTGGAAGGTTTCTTGAGGACTGGCCTCCACTGTAGGGGGAAGGGGGCTCCTTCAAAAGAACAACTACCAAAACCCTACTAGGCAGCACTTGACATCCTACCGCGCCTCAGCGCGCCAGTGGGCGCGTTGGCGGGTTTCATCCCCGCAGCGCACAGAATGTCCACCCTGCTCCAAAGCATCAACCAGCTCCACGAGATGAAGGTCAAGATGGTGTGGGATTCGCCAACCTTCCAGGACGAGGCCCTCATGGCCGCCACGACGACCTACGACCTTGGACGCGACCCTCGCAGCAAACAGCCCATCGCGTACAACTACATCACGCAGCGGAAGCAGAGCGGTCAGATTGGATCGAATCAGTACAGGACTGAGAAGACGCTCTTCGATCAGGGCATCGAGATCCCCACCACGAAGCGGTGGCAGATCTCCAATCGCTACCGCGGACTCCAGTGCGACGGCATACACACCGACATGCGCGCCAGGGATCACCTGTTCTACGACCTGCCGTGCCCCATGGGCCAGCAGAAGTACGGCAAGTCCAACTACTGCACTTGGGTGGAGCCGTTCAAGACAGAGCTGCGTGGCGCCTGCCCGGAGGCCTCAGGGCTGGACGACCTGGTGCTGCAGAGCGGGCTCTACCAGATGTGCGCTGCGCACGAGCAGCCGTTCTGCTACGCGTACACCGAGCACATCCGCTGAGGTGTTACGCCTCGGCCGGCACACTCGAAGTTTATAAGTGACGCATATCCGCGTCGATTCCCCCTCTTCTCTCCTCGTCATCGTCCTCCCCATTAGCCCCTTAGTTGTTCGGCTCGCGGGCTCTGCGGACCCGTAGCTACATGGTTCTGTGGCCATTGCCGAAGGACGTGCATCCGCTTTTGTATATTCTGCGGACAACAAAGAGCAACACGTGTCGATCCGGCCCACTACGTCCAGGGTGCCTGCTCTAGATCATGATCAGCCTCGGCGGGCGCTCGCAGATTCTGGCCGCTGCATCTCCTTCTTAGTATTATTATTAGTAGTAGTATTCTTTTCACGTGTATCCCGCGTATATTCTCCGCCCGCACATCTCCTTTTCCCCCCTGATTTCTTCTCCTTCCCCGCGTTCCTCCTTCCCCGTCTCCACGTCCTTCGTCCCCCGTTCAATGTCCCTCGCCTTCCCTCTGACGCTCTATTCTTATTTTTACGATTCGCATTATTTGTTTTCTTACTATTGTGAGTATTATTATCAGCATTATTCTTAGTATATCACTGTTATTATGCAGATTCCCCCCCTCTCTCTAGACCTCCCTCCCGCGATTTCCTGTGTGTGTTTTTGCTTCGTGCTCTCTCTCTCTCTCTCTCTCTCTTTCTCCCCCTCTCTCTTTCTCCCCCCCTCTCTCTCTCTCTTTCTGTCTGTGTGTCTCTCTCTTTCTCTCTCTCTCTTTCTCTCTGCCTATCTATCTATCTACCTGTCTGCCGCTGCATAGGTACAGTTCCAACGCGCACACACACACACACTCTCTCTCTCTCTCTCTCTCTCCCTCTCTCCACGAGATCTTCAATTCACGCGTCCCGACCCCCAGGGCCCCGGCCTCCGCGTCGACGACATCTCGGCCAGTCCCGGTGTGCCGCCCTCCCGGATCCTCCGGGCGGCCCCGGGAGAGCCTGGGCGCGCTCTCCCGGGGCCTCCCCGCAGGCAGCCCCCCACGGGCCTCGGGCCGGCCCTGAATCCCCCCTTGTGGCAGCCCAGAGGGATCCGAGGCCGCCCACGACAGCGCCCCCACGGCTGCACGGTTTCCCCCGGGGCCGCCGTCAACCCGAGGAGGAGGAGGAGGAGGAGGAGGAGGAGGAGGAGGAGGAGAAGGAGGGGGCGGGGGAGGAGGAGGAAGGAGGGGGAGGAGGAGGAAGGAGGGGGAGGAGGAGCTCGGAGGGGGAGGAGGAGCTCGGAGGGGGGGGGAGGAGGAGCAGGAGGAGGAGGAGGAGGAGGAGGAGGAGGAGGACGTGCCGCCTAAGCCCTTCAGAGAAACCCTCCACCCACGGCTCAAGAGGCTCCCACGAGCACCCGTCCAAGAGAGCTCCGAGGAAGGCCGAGAGAGACCGAAATCTTCCAAAAACCTTGGGAAGACCCGTGTTTTTGGCGTTCTCGCATTTTCGATTCCGATACGCTTCCGAGGTTTGCGCGTGACCCCAAGGGCGTCCCAAGATGCTCCCAAGAGGCGTCCCGAGCGCACTCAAGGAGCCTCAAGAGGCCACAAGAGACTCACAAGACGCCCGAAGGAGCACCAACGAGGCTTCAAAGACGCTCTCAAGAGGCTCCGAAGAGCCCTCAGGAGGCGCCCAAGAGGCTCCCGAAAGGCTCACTAAGGCCCAAGAGCCCCCAAGAGGCCCCCAAGAAACTCCAAGAGGGTCCAAGAGGCGCCCTCAAGAGGCTTAAAGAATGCGATCAAGAAGGCCTTCAAGGTGCTTCAGAGAGCCCCCGGGAGATATCCACGAGCCATCCAAGATTTCGGCGGACTCGGGGGAGGCGACTTCTCTCCTCTTCCCTCCCCCAGTGGTTCTCCAGCCTCGGGCTGCTTTCCAGCAGCTGCGCCTCGCCGTGGGCGTTCCGGGGTGTCTGGGTCGTTCCGAACGGCCGCCAGACATCCGAGCCATGACTCGAAAGCAAGCGGGCAACGTCAGAAGTGGGATATCATAGGCTCATAGGCTCAAGGGAGGACGCATCGACGCCCAATCGAGGCCCCAAACACTGCCCAAGAGGGCTCCAAGGAAGCCCTCGAGAGGCCATTTAAAAAGATACGAAAAAACTGAGGAAGCGGATAGTGTTTGCCTTCTCGCTTTCTCGCCTCCGATACGAGTTCGAGGCTGCCGCATGGCCTGCACGAGGGCCCCAAAATGGCCTCAAAAAGCGCCTCCCGGGAGGCCCCGAGAGGCCGCCGAGACGCCCAAAGAGGCACCCACGAGGCCCCAAAGAAGCCCCCACGAGGCTCCGACGAGGCCCCGGGAGGCCCAGAGGCACCCCGGAGGTCCTTGAGTGCCCCAAGAGGCCCCCAAGGGGCCCCAGAAGCTCCAGGAGGCGCCCCCGAGAGGCTCCAAGAAAGCTCTCAAGGCGCCTCCAAGAGGGCCCCAGGGGTCTCCCAGGGGATGCCTCCCAGAGCGGGAGCAGAGGGATTGCGGAGTAGGGGGAGGAGGAGGAGAAAAAGGAGGACGGAGAGGTCGAACGAGGAGGCGAGTGCGGAGGTGGCGGCCCCTCCCTCCTCGTCCCTCCCTCCTCTTTCATTAGCCTCTCCTCCTCCCTCTTCCACGCTCCGCCTTTGTCCCTCCCCCCTTCCCCATCTCGCCTTCACTTCCCCCCCCCTCCGGTCCCTCCTCCGGCCTCCCTCGCCCAGCTTCCCGCCTCACTAGTGGAAGGGGGCAACTCGGAAAACAGAGAAGTATCACACGTTCTTTTTGTCAGAAGTTCCTCCCCTCGCGCGTGCGCTAGAAGGCCTTTCCGTCTCCCCCATCCCTCGCCTTCCGTTCCCCATTCTCTCTCTATCGGTTCCTCTCTCTCTTCATCTCTATCTCTTTCTTCATCACTCTCTCCCCCTCCCTCTTCCCCGCTCCGCTATGTTCGTTCCTCCCTCCTACTCCTACTCCTCATCTCCCCGACACTCCTTACCCCCTTCCCCTCCCTATCTCCCTCTTGCGCCCCGCTGACCGTCTCGCTGATGGAAAAGGGGGCCAACTTGAAACATCTTGATTATCCCACATGTTTTTCGAGTAGCCCCACTCGTGCGTGCACTAGAATGCTCTAGGCCTCCTAAATGGGGTCGGAGGGTCACGCCGCATCGCCGATGCGTCGGCGATGCAGCTAGATGTGCAGCCCGATGTGCTTCATTCTCATCGTCATCGTGATCATCAGCATCGCCATCGTCATCATCTGCATCATCATCATCATCATCATCATCATCATCATCATCATCATCATCATCATCATCATCATCATCGTCATCGTCATCGTCATCGCCATCGCCATCGCCATCGCCATCATCATCAACATCATCATAATCATCGTCAGCGTCAGGATCACCCCCATCATCGTCATCATTGTTATCATAGGCATCGTCGTCATCATCAGTAGTATCACCAAGGCCCCAGTGCCAGGGTGCGCATGGGGGCCTCGGGCCATTTCGCCGCAGCCATTCACACGCTTCGCGGCCCTACAGGAAGCTCCACCGAAGGCCCCAGTGGCAGGGTCCGCATGGCGGCCTCGGGCCATTTCGGAACATCCCTCACACGCTTCGCGACCCCATAGGGAGCTCCGCCGAAGGCTCCTGGGACTTCCTGGGTCTTCCTGGGGCTGGGGGCATTTGATAGACCTCAGAGGGCAGCCTGGGGCCCTCGAGTGCGAGCGACTGCCTGACGGACTTGCGGTGGTTTCGCAGCCTCCAGAGACCTCTTGGGACGTCTTGGGCGTCCAGGGACATCTGAGAAATCCGAACGATGCGACGCGTCGAAGCTCCAGTCTCGGCAAAACCCCAGGGTCAGTCTTGGCGATGACGGGGTCACTCAGTCTCCCTGGATCGGTGGATTGGTCGCCGGTTTCTTCGGTCGGGGGCGTCATCCTTTTCGGTTGCTGATCCTAAGTAATTGTATGCGTGCAAATCGACGGCGAGAACAGAGGGAAGCAAGAGCTGGCGGGCCTTCTCGGAACGCTCAGAAGTCCTCCGACCGTCGGAGTGGTTTTCTAGGCCTTCCCCGACGACAGAGATGGCTTCTCAGAAGGCGCAAGGGCTTCTGAGATGCCCCGCCGCCTCCTCGGAAGGCCTGCCCCCTCTCACCTCCCCTCTGGCCCAACCTCCCGGTGCACCGTGTGCCAGAAGCAGCTTCACGATCGAACCTGGCTTGCACATGTGCTCGAGCGTGCACGTCCCGAGCACGCGAGGGCGGTGTGCCTCGCCGGGGGGCCCAGCCTTCGAGGAGGAGAGGGCCGGAGACCGAGCAGGGCGGCTCTTGCGCTGTGCCTCGGCTGTGCGCGAGAGTGACCCTTTGGCAGAGTGACCTCTCGTGCGGGCTCACCGGGGTCCCCCCAATCGCTGAGCGCGATGCGATAGAGGTTGCTCCCGCGCCTGGACTTGGCCACCTTGCGCCCCCTTGCTCCGCGCACTGAAGGTCGGTCTTGTCCAGGGTCACTCTTGCGTGTAGCCCGAGTGCTTGGGAAGTTGTTGCCGTTCCATTTGCTGCTCCAAGGACTTTGCCCTTTTCCGTTCGAGTCAACTTCGTAGATTTAGTCCATTTGGATTCCTTCTCTCATATTCCCTCCTCATCCCCACGATCGTGTTCTTTATATTGTGCGCGCCGCTTCGCGGGGGGGCACGGCTGGACAAGCGTTCCGTCCGCTTGTTGGCCGTATTGGGGGGCTCTTAGGGTTGATTTTTAGTTGCCTTGGGTGTATCCTGTGCCGTCTTGGGGCCCTCATTTTGGTCGTCTTTAGCCCTCCTGCTCCGTCTTGGAGCCTTCGTCAGCAGTCTGGAGCATCTCTGGGTGCCTTCTGGGAGTGCTCTGGGGCCCTCTTGGGTCGTCTTGGGCCTCTCGTGGGGACCGTCTTGGCCCCTTCTTGGAGCCCTGTTTGAGCCCTTGCGGGCCGTCTTGGAACGATCTTGGGGGCCTCAGTGGCCGTCTTGGACGTTATTACGACCGAAAAAGAGAATATGCCAAAAATAAGCAAAACCCCAAGGAACATCAATATGCTTTGCCTCGTGGGGAGCCGTTGGGGTACCTTGTGGCCTTCTTGAGCCGTCCTGGCACCCGTCTTCGCCGTCTTGGGTGTCTATTCGTGCTTTCTTGGGTCCTGGGCTGTATCGGGGCCATCTTGGGGCCGTTTTGGGGTGGATACGGCGATGGGATTGCAGATGCGGGAAGGGATAGGCAGATGCGGAACGGGTCGGACAGCGCTTCGCGGGGGACACGGCTGGACAAGCGTTCTGTCCGTTCTTGGGTTTGGGAACGTCGTGGTGGTCTTTTGGGACCGTTGAGGTTTTTTGGATGCCTTCTGCGCCGTCTTTGGGCTGTCTTGGCCCCCTCTGGGCCGTCTTCGGAGTCTCTTGGAGCTGTCCTTGCGCGGTATGGGCGCTTTTGAGGCTCTATGTGGCCACCTTGGGGGCCTTCTTAGCCGTCTGTCAAGTCTCATGAGGCCGTCGTGTGGCCGTCTTAAGGGGCCTTCTGAGGCCGTCTTGGATCACTTGGGAGGCCATCTACGGGTCTTCTTCGGTCGTCATGAGGCCATTTTGGATGATTACTGAGCAACGCGGGCAGTCTTGTTGGGGAAGTCCTGCATTCATCCAGGGCCGCCCATCAGATGTCCCAAATCTAGAGGCAATTCCGTGCTTGGGTTTCTTCTGGCCGTATTGGGGGGTCCTCTTGTGGTCTTCTTGGGCCGTGTTTGGGTGCCTCTTGGACCGCATTGAGGCCATGTCGGGCCGTCTTGGGGCCCGATTGGGCCGTCGTGTATGCATCGTGGGCCATCTCGGCGGCCGTGGTGGCCCGCCCCGGCCGCTTATGAGCTTGGGAACCGCGGACGACTTGTTTGTTACGGAGGATCGTAGCCTCGGGAGCAGCCATCAATGCTTTTTCAAGCTACCGTGGCCTCGGCATCGCAGGTCCACAGTTTCTCATCGGGGATCGTGGCCTCGGGGCGGGGGGCGGTGCACGCGGAACCCGGCTACGAGGCGGGGGGGGCTTCTCAAAGATCACAGAAGTCCTACCGGGTAGCACTTGGCAGCATGTCACGCCTCAGCGTGCCAGGGGGCACGGTGGCGGATCTTTCTCCTCCTCATCCGCCTTCTGTCCGTCGCCGTTTCCGCTCTACGCCTCCGTTCTCTTAGGGCTCGAGGGGCCAGGCTGGACTGGGGGGGGCATGGCGTTGCCGCTGATCCTGGACGTCGACACTGGCGTGGACGACGCCCTAGCGTTGCTTCTTGCGCTGAGGTGCTCCCAGGCACAGGTGCTGGAGGCTGCCAACTGTCCACCTCCACCGAGATCCTCCTCCTTTCTCTCCTACTACTGACCCTCCTTCCCGGCAGGAAAATCCGGGGCCCAGAATTGGTGTACATCTGTGGTTGTGCCCGAAGGCTGTGCCCGCTGATCCCAGGCACAGGTCGGGCTTGGCCAGCATTATCGTCGGTGGAAAGTTTGCGTCATCTTGAGGTGCTGGCGGTCACCTGCGTTCACGGCAACACGGACGTCGACCAGGTGACCAGGGGGAGCGATGAATTGTTTGATCGATTGGTTTTCAGCGGCCGGGCTCCTTCTTCTCATCTTGCCTCATCTTCATCTTGCCGCCTCTTGCCTCCTCCTTGTTCCCTCCCACTCCCCCCGCTCCCATTCTTCCTCCTTCTCCTCTGCTTCCTCCTCCTTCTTCCTCGTCTTCCTCCTCGTCCTCCTCCCCCTCCTCCTCCTCATCCTCATCCTCATCCTGATCATCCTCTCGGGGGCGTCAATGGGAGGGGTGAGGACGAGGTGGGCGTGGATGCCATGGCAGAGGACACGAAATCTCCCAGATTCCAAGGCCCCCCATATATTATTTCAATACGTTTCCTGGGCCCCCCTCGTCCGCGCGTCTGCCTCGAGCCACGATGCGACAATCCCCCTCTTCTTGGCCCCCCTCTCCGGAGCACCAGTCCCTCCTCTTCTTCTCCTCTTTTTCCTCCTCCTCCTCCTTTTCTTCCTCCTCCTCCTCCTTGTCCTCCTCCTCCTCCTCCTCCTCCTCATCATCATCATCCTCCTCTTCCTCCTCCTCCTCCTCCTCCTCCTCCTCCTCCTCCTCCTCCTCCTCCTCCTCTCCTCCTCCTCCTCCTCCTCCTCCTCCTCCTCCCGTAGCCATTTTGGCTCAAGATGCTTGCACTGCTGGGCTCCGCGCCCTCGTGCCAAAACGGAAGCTGCTGGACCGTAGCAGCGCGAGGATTGTTCAGTCCGACACCTGTTTCTGGCCTCATCCGCGGGAGTTGGGCCCCCGCTTCAGTGTGTGTTGGCCTTCACTGCGGGAGTTGGGCCCCCGCTAGCAGGTCATGTCGTGGCGGTCGCGTGCCCCCTGGTACCAAGGGCGCGGAGGTCGCAAGCGTGGCTACGGCGGCGCATGGGGTCGTGAAGCCCAGCGTCGAGATACCTACTCAGTGTGCGGTGCCTGTGGGCACTGGGAGTTCGACAAGTACGGCAACTGGAGTTGCAGTAAGTGCGGTGGCTGCTATCTTGACGTCGGAGAGCCTGCTGCTAAGGACGCTGGTGGCCGTGATGCTGCTGGCGATCTCGAGTGGCTGGCGGCCAAGTACCCGCACTTGGCAGGGGCGCTCGGGGAGCTTGGCGCGGCGGCCGCGGCGGAGCCGCACGCGCCACCTGCCCCCCCGCCTGAACCTGCCACTGAGAACGAGATGGAGAAGCTCGTGGCTGCGAAGCGTACTGCCTTGGCGAAGGCGGTCGAGGTGCAGTCGCGAGCTGAACGGATTGCTCAGGGCGACGTGGAAGCTCGGCTGGCGGCTGTGGTTCGCCATCGGGAAGCTCTTCATGCTGCTGAGACGCAACATCGTGAGGCGGTGCAGGTGCTGCAAGCCAAACAGGTCCTGCTGCGTGAGGCTACGTTGGCGAAGGATGGCTTCGTGGAGGCTGACTTCCGACGCCTACAGCGTGAGGAGGAGGACCGTGTTCGAGGCGAGGCCGCTCGCGCTCTGTACGAAGCGCAGGCGGCTATGGCGGCTGGCGCGGCGCGTGGCGCTGGTGCTGCTGGCGGCGCTGGGGTTGCTCCTGGCGGTGGCGCTGGCGGCGCGGCGGGCGCTCCTCCTGTCGCAGGCGGCGGCGGTCCAGGAGGCGCTGCGCCTGCTGCCCCCGTGGGTACCCATGCCGCTGGCGTGGATGGCGGCGTGGCGGCTGGCGCGGGTGCGCCGCAGGCGGTGCTTCAGCTTCCTAATCTGGTTCAGCTTGATGAAGAGGGTCTGGCGCGCTGGTGTGCGGAGCATCGTCAGCGGCTGGAGTTTTGGCAGGAGCTCCAGCGGATCTACGTCAGCGCGGTCAAGGAGGACGACGCCGATTCCGAGATGGCTTCAGAGTATGGTGATGCTCAGCGTGATGAGTTGGAGTCTCTGCGCAAGCGGGCACGTGAAGGGCCCCTCGAAGCTACACAGCAAGATCGTATGGAGAAGCTCTTGGTCAAGTCCGCCAATTGCAAAGCGGTCAAGCGGCTGCGAACTATCCGCGAGGACACGGCCTCGAGTTTTGGCAGAGTGCTTCAGCAGGCGGCCCCTGCCGGCGGCGTGGCCCAAGTCCCTGCCCCTGCAGATGGTGTCGACGACGGACTACGTGAGGCGGCGGCGGCTGCTGATGGTGAGGCCCCTGTTGCGCAAGCCCGTTTTTAACAGGCACACTGGTGGTCACGAGGCGGCCACCAGTATCGATTTCCTTTTCTGTAATATCACCTCGTGGAACGAGGTTGCCGTCTCGTTCGCTTCCAGCGTGCGAGCCAGTTGTGACGGTTTCTTCTTTGCCGAGCATCACCTGGATTGTGATCGGGCGAAACTGGCGAAGAGGCGAGCGCACCAGCTGAAATGGCGACCCCATTTCATTCCTGCTACGCCCTCCCCAGGGGGTGGAACCCATGGTGGGGCGGGGGCCGTTGTGTCTCGGGGATTGTCGTTTCAACGTTTTTTGCATTTAGACGGTCCAGTGCAGGACCATGGCTCTGGAAGCCATTGGATGTTTCTTGAGTTACGCACCAAAAAAGCGGCGATCGCTGTGGGCGTTGTTTATTTGGCGTCGGGCCTGGGAGTCTGTGGAGAGAATGTGAACAGATTGCGAGGTGTCTCGGAGTTTCTGGGAACGTTGTCGGTTCCGTGGATTTTGATGGGCGATTTCAATGTCTCAGCTGGTGATCTCGATCTTTCGGGCTTCCCACGACTTGCGCGAGGGCGAGTGCTGGCCCCGTCGCTGGTGGAGTTCACCTGCACGCAGGGGCGCGGCTCCCTGATCGATTACGTGGTCGCTTCGGAGGATATTGCCAGCTACGTGCGAGTATCTAAGTATACACCGTCACCATTTAAGACACATGCGTGTTTGAAGGTTTCGTTGGGCCATGGGGCGGTTGAACAGACGTTGTGGAAGCGTGTCAAACCTCCTCCTTTTCCTGATTGTGCTGGTCCTGATTTACCCTGGGAAGTTTTGTTGACGCAGGTGTCAGACGATGGTGACTTGGAGGTTCCGTTTTATTTTGAAGATAACTTCTTACCCCATGTTCATGATCATCTTTCTCCTGCTCTCTCTCGTCAGTACCGTATTTGGAGCCGAGCTACCGAATTGATGTTTCTATCTCGCGCTTGTGCGATGCAGTTGCTGCCTTGCGAGAGTAGTGTGCGCGGAGGTTACCCGAGTTTTCGACGTGCCAAGATTGGACGTAGAGGTTTCTGTGGTCAGAGTTTCCAATCCCCTACGCTGTGTTTCTGGGCTCATGTTTCTCAGACCTTGTGGGAGTTTCGTCTGTGTAAGGCTCGGAAGTCTTGGGATAATATGCATTGGGCTGGTCGCGTGTTGCACGTTTTGTCGGGTCAAGTCCACGCGCATTGCCTCCCTGGGCTTGTGCACCCCGTCGAGTGGTGGATAGCTCAGCTGGCCGCCGTCCCGTCGCCGGTCGATGGACTGAATCTTCTTAGTGATGCGGTCTCTCACGCGGTCGGCCAGGCTTGGAATGATGCTCGCGCTCTGTCTAAGGAGAAGATGAAGCAGTGGCTTCTTAAGGCCTTGCCGCGTGGTGCCAAGAGGGTTCACTCTTGGCTCAAATATGATCAGGGGGCTGACCTCGAGCATTTGGTTACTCCCTCGGAGGTGAAGCAATTGCCCGAGGAAATGATGCAGTATCGTCAGGATTTTTGGAGCGCGTGTTGGACTGCTCCTTGGGAGCAGCGCGAGGCCCTCTCGGGAGTTTTGGATGTGGTTCGCCGCATGGCTCTGGCGGCCGTTGGTGATCTCGAGCCGTTGACCCCCTGTGCGGTGTCCAGAGCTGCGCGGATGTTCAAGGCTGACACTGCTGTGGGCATTGACTGCTGGCCTCCGCGGATTTTGGCGTCCCTCCCTGGGGCTGCCGTTGGGGCCTACGCGGATCTCCTCAATCAGTGCGAAGCTTGTATGATGTGGCCCACGCAGGTGATGATGGGCATCATCGCTCTGTTACCTAAGGCGGCTGATGCGGAGCGCCCTGTTTGCAAATGCCCGTCGTTGTATAGGGTCTATTGTCGTGCGCGTGGCCGTGACATTGATGAGTGGTCTCGGGAGCGCGAAAGCTTTTGGGATACCGCGGCTAGGGGCTCTTCGGCGTTGCAGGCCGCGTTGTTGCGAGAGATCGGCCATGAGACTGCTAGATATATTGGGGAGCTTTCGGTTGGGCTGTATTGGGACCTCAGTAAGTTTTTTGATACGGTGGACCCTCTCCGCCTGGCTGGATTCGCCTTGCAGATGTCTTATCCCGCTCATTTGCTGTATTTAGGTATCTTGATGCATGAGGCCCCGCGTATTTTGGAGGTCAACGGCTTCGTGTCCGACGTGATGCCCACTGGTCGTGGGGTGCTTCCTGGGTGTGTGCAATCTATGCCTTGGGTTAAAATCTACTTGTATGATCTGTTGGATTTCGCACACGCCCAGTATTTTCCTGTTGTCACTCTGGCGCACGTCGATGACATTACCCAGACGCAGCAGGGTTCTTGGAGTGAGATTGTCTCGCGCATCGTGCCAGCCGCAGTTCATGTGTGTCATCAGCTTGAGCAAGCTGGCACTACTATTTCCAGTAAGAGTACTTTCGTGTGTTCAGATCGAGCTTTGCAAGAACATATTGAGGGTTGTTTCCGCGCTGCACAGCTTCCTATTCGTGTTGGGGAAGCGGTGCGCGACCTGGGGGTCATGACTACTGCAGGGCGTCGACGTTGTGTGAGTAAGTTGAGACAGCGACGTGCCGTTGCGTATAAGAAAGCTGCGAAAGTGAGGTGTCTGACTTGTTTTAGCCGGCAGAGCTAGGAAGCTCTATAAGCTTGCGGCGTTGGCGGTTGGATCCTGGGGCCATGAAGTGTTGGGTCTTTCGCCGTCGCAGGTCCAAAGCATGAGGAGTCAGGCCGCTACGTGTTCTGGTTGGTGGAGTCCTGGGTCCTGTACGACTACCGTTCTGAGTTTGGTTAGCCCTGCTAAGGATGACCCCCAGTTTAGGTTGCGGTACGAACAACTCA